GCTCATCAAGGAGGTCGTCTGGGTGAGCGCCCCCCACCGCCGCCCAACCCCACCGGCTCCCCGAGTCTCTGCCGCAGCCTCCCCGCCCCACCATCTGCCCAGGCTTCAGACGCGGATCAGAGAAACTACCTTTCCCGTGATGCCTCAGGGAGGGGCCCCGTGGGATGCTGGGCGTTGTGGAATCGTCCACTGCGCTAAAAGAGAAGGCAGTACCTGCCTTTGGAGGAGTGGGATGCTGGAATGAACCATTCTGGGAAGTGGGGGGGTAGTTGGGAGAGACCATTACGAGAGGCTGTGCAGTACGGATGAGATCATGCTTGCAACGTTGGATCCGTTGTCCTACATATGGAATGCCAGAAGATGGGGGGGGGTCTTCCAGCCAATTGAGTCAGGACCCGAGTCATGTAGGGAGTTTCTTGGGGACTGGAGGCCACTCCTGATCAAAGAGCTGTGTGTTTGCAGTGGTGAGAAGAGACAGAGATCATTGTGAAGTTTTGGGATTAGAGTCCATCTGAAAAGTGGGGAGAGTCTCTGCCAAAAATGTTGCTGGCTGTGGTGGTGCAGGAGGATAACAAATTCAAGCCCAGTTTCAGCCATTTAGCAACTTAGACTGTCTTTAAAAAAGTGTGTGTGGGGCTGCCGAGAAATAGGTAGATCCATAGATATCTATTTCAAATCCAAGCTTAGTGTAATCACTATGTATCACAAACATTAATAACAAAAAATTTAAAGGGCCAGTGATGTAGCTCAGTGCAAAAGAATCCCTATACTGGAAGAAGAGAAAAACCGGGGTATTAACTCATGAACCTCTCTTCCCCTGATTTCCTCATCTTGATTCTGAGCTTACTGTTCCACAGGAAAAGATTAAGGAAATTGGAGATCGTCAGCCAGAGAAGTAAGAGAAATTCTGGGCAGAAAAATCTGGGGTAATGTAGAGGATGGGAATGCATCCAGTTGAGTTCTCTCCCTGGCTGTCTTAGTGCATGCTTCTGTGCCTCCTTGGGACTCAGCTTTCCCATTTGGTCCCCAACTTAGACCCAGATATGAAGGTTTGGAGTATGGTAAGGTTTTGGGCTACGATGGTGGTTAGGGTGAAAGGTCCTTTCCTTTTTCTTCAGCCACACAGAAGGGGTCCCTGAGGTGCCTCTGACTCCCGAGGCTGTGTCTGTGGAGCTGCGGCCACTCATGCTGTGGATGGCCAACACCACAGAGCTGTTGAGCTTTGTGCAGGAGAAGGTGCTGGAAATGGAGAAGGAAGCTGACCAGGATGGTGAGCTCCGACCCAGGCCCAGCCCTCTCCTAGCCTCTGGCTGCCAGCATCGGGTTCTACTTCTTACCCCAGGTTTATCCTCAGACCCGCAGCTCTGCAATGACCTGGAATTATGTGATGAGGCCATGGCCCTCCTGGATGAAGTCATCATGTGTACCTTCCAGCAGTCTGTCTACTACCTCACCAAGGTTGGCTTTTCTCCTTGCTTCCTGCTTGAGACAATATCACTTTCTGTTTATACTACATTGTATTACTCTGATGCCACTTCCTATTTGACTCAAAATTTCCTTTTCCTATGATATCACTTCCCATCTCACCCCAGTGTTGTGTGTTCTGATATCATTTCCTGTTTGAGCTTGCATCACTTCTGCTTTCTCTTCCTGTCTTTGCAATCGTAACCTCTTGACAGGCTGAACTCTTACCTGGTTGTATTGCCATTGCCACTTAATCTCTCATTTCTTTCTTTCTTTTTTTTTTTTTTTTTGACAGCATCTTGCTATGTAGTTCAGGCTGGCCTTGAACTTGTGGCAATCCTTCTGCCTCAGCCTCTCGAATGCTATGATTACAGGCATGCACCACCATGCCTGGCTCATTTTCTAAGTCTATTTTAAGTCATAAAGTTATACAAATAGAGAAATCAAATAGAGTTAGGCACTGTCACTTATTCAGAGGTCCTCTTTAATCAAGTTTCACTTCCTGTACTTGCTGACCTCACTTCCTAGAGCTCTGAATTCACTCCCTTTTTTGAGCCACAAGCCCCAATCTCCCTGAATACTCTTCCTGCAGGCAGTTTTCCTACTACCATCTTTGACTTGAGTATTGTTTCTTGGACATCTCATAGATTTTGGCTTATTGTGAAGGCCCCTCTCTGTAAAATAAGAGATCTTTTGGGACAGATAGCCTCCAAGTTCTTTGAGCAGCCACACTTGTGAAATTCTTTTCTCTGAGGCTTCACTTCCCGTACATCTTTGCCAAGTACAGTCGTATTTCTTTTGTCTCTGAACTCATTTCCTGTCCTTGGCCTGATCTCACTTTCCAGTGAGATCTACTCCCACTTCCTGACTCTCCTCCATTCTTTTTCTTCCCTTGGAAAATTCTGGATAAATAATTGTTTGACTGAAGAGGGCTTCTTTGTCCAATATCTTTGGCCCTCCTTGAGCTGACTCTGCTGAGGATTATACGTACTGTAAGGCATGAGAGGTGATCTTAAAATACCCAAGAAACTTCTAGAAATTCTTTGTTTTGCTTTGTTTTTCTGAGACAGGGTCTCATTATGTAATTCAGGCTGACCTTGAACTCACAGCAATCCTTTTGCTTCAGTCTCCCAAGTGCTGGGATTACAGGCACGTACCAAGCCTGACTTAGAAATTCTTTCTTGAGACTTGAGTTGTTCCAGGGCTAATAAATGCTAGAAACCCTTGTACAAACTGGGATTTGCTTGAGGAACCCTGTCAAGACTATAGGGTAGAATGGACTACAACTCCCAGAAGCCTTTGGTGGAGCTTCTTTTTATCTTCATGCTTTACCACTCTGTACTTTCCACGGAGTGTGATCCAGTCACTAATGTTTTTGCCTCTGTATTTCCTCAGACTCTTTACTCAACATTGCCTGCTCTCCTGGACAGCAACCCCTTCACAGCTGGGGCAGAGCTGCCAGGGCCTGGCACAGAGCTGGGGGCCATGCCCCCGGGCTTGAAGCCTACCCTGGGTGTGTTCCAGGCAGCCCTGGAGTTGACCAGCCAGTGCGAGCTGCATCCAGACCTCGTTTCTCAGACTTTTGGCTACTTGTTCTTCTTCTCCAATGCATCCCTTCTCAACTCACTGATGGAACGAGGTGAGGGTTGGGCCAAGAGGTGCAGGGATGCAAAGACGGGAGCCCCCACCCTGGCAGCCACATCCAGCTAGGAGACAGAGGCTGAGGTGTCCCCTTTGGCACTCTGGGGAGCAGTCTCCAGTCCCAAACGCTAGGCTAGGAAACATCTGGGAGGCAGAACACGGTCCACCCAACCACCCACCATCCTTCACACTCTTCTCTCACAGGTCAAAGCCGACCTTTCTACCAGTGGTCCCGAGCTGTCCAGATCCGCACCAACCTGGACCTTGTCTTCGACTGGCTGCAGGGGGCTGGGCTGGCTGACATCGCTACTGAGTTCTTCCGGAAACTCTCCATTGCTGTGAACCTGCTCTGCGTGCCCCGCACCTCTCTGCTCAAGGTGACTCCTGGTCTACTTCATCCTGATTCTAACCCCTTAGTCCTGCTCAAGCACTTTCCATAGCCAGCACCTCCCTCACCTCAGGAATGCCCATGTCATGCCCAGCCCTAACTCAGACACTGGACGGCCATTGGCAGCTAGGAGGAAGCCAGCACCAACAATGACCAAACTCAGCTGCGTCCGAATCACACTGTAATGTATGCAGAGTTTGCAGGGTGTACCCTGTGACATGCTGGGTATTAGTTCAAGGTATGTGAGTTAAAACAGTCATCAAAACCAGGCATGGTGGCATAGGCCTATCATCCAGCATTGAGAAGCCTGAAGCAGGAGGATCACTGGGAGTTTGAGGCCACTCTGGGCTACATAGTGAGATCCTGTCTCAAAAACAGACAAAAACCAAACCAAACAAAAAAGAAAACAAAACAAAACAAATAAGCAAACAAACGGTCATTGAACGTAACTACAGGCCAGGCACTTCTAGCTTAATGCTGACAAATCTTCATGAAAATGTTATTATATGCCAGATGTGGCAGTGTACGCCTGTAATCCCAGTACTCAGGAGGCTTAGGCAGGAGAAGCACTGTTAAGTTCTAGGCCAGCCCTTGCCACATAGTTCAAGAGCAGCCTCAACTATATACTGAGACTTTGACTCAAAAATAAAATAAAGGAACTAAGTTATTAACTGACAGTTTTTCAGACAAGGAAACTGAATCAGGTAGGACAGTCCTTGATTTCAATTATTTCTTTATTTTATGATACTGGGGATTGAACCCAGGGCCTTTGCCCTGAGCTATATCCCTAGCACCCCCACCCTCTTAAAGTTTTGAGACAGGGTCCTCCTAAATTGCCTAGACTAAATCCCAGAGTACTAGGTGTGTTACCATACCTGGTTTCCTTTTATTTCTTTTATCAAACATTTACAGTGCATTTAATGAGCCTTAAGCAGTGTTCCAAGTACTTTACAGTTTTGCCATATTGTATCTTCAGAACTACCCTACAAGTTCTCTTCTCCCAGTTTACAGATGAGAAAACTGAGTGATTTTCCAGAAGGTTAATAGGTAGCCAACTTGGATTTTTGAACTCAGGCAATCTGGATAGAGAATCTGATTTTAACCACACCGATGATTCTGGTGTCAGGTAGGTCAAGCACACAAATTGTCAAACAGGTACAAAAGTGGACACAATGGAATATCAAACCCTTGTCAGTATATAAATTAGTGGCCAGTCTTGTTCCTCACATACTTCCTACATCTCATTTACTCTGAAGCACATGACTTTTTTTTTTTTTTTCTTTAAATTTCAGACAAGGTCTCGCTATGTAGTTCAGGTTGGCCTGGAACTCGCTATATAGCCCAGGCTGGCCTCAAATTCAAGGTGATCCCAGCCTCCTGAGTGCTGGGATTACAGGTGTGTGTCACCATGCCTGGCTCAGCTCAATTTTGTTTGTTTGTTTGTACTGGGGATCCAACTTGGGACCTTGCTCTTGGGAGGCAGGCAGCTAGCTCATCAATTTTTAAAAAGTGCTGAGAGCACAACCCTTTCTCAGCATCACTTCGGCGACTAGTGGCTTCACGGTACCCAGAGACATGGCACTGACTCTGCTATCCATCCCTACGTGCACTTCCTCCACGGTAGTCCCTCCATGGTGACTTCTCACCTGGTCTTCCCTCCAGGCCTCCTGGAGCAGCCTACGAACGGACTACCCCACCCTGACCCCAGCTCAGCTCCACCACATGCTCAGCCACTACCAGTTGGGTCCTGGGCTCAGGCTGCCACCTGCCTGGGACCCTCCCCCTGCAGAGCGAGATGTGGTGGCCACAGGTAAGGAAGAACGGGGATAAAGCATTGGGCTGTCAGCTTTCTTCTCCCCTCAAGACCTACGAGTCCATCTCCCCGGCTGCCTCGTTCTGACCCAACATTCTGGACCCAGAGCCCCTTCCTCTCCCGGGATGTAAACGCTGGACCGAGCCCACTTCTCCCAGGATATGGGTTGAAGTGCCCAGTTCCTTCTGATTCTCAGGATTCGGGTCTGCAGACCCTTCCATTTTCCTTCCCTCACTCATCTTAGAGTCCAGGCCCTTCCACCCTCAGAAATCCCTAAGACCAAGTTCCCAGTCTTTCTTCAGGAACCCAAGAACATTGCCGTTTCCCAAGCAACCGTGGTCGGCCGCAATGCTGACTACAACTCCCATCATGCTTCAGGACCCCGAGAGTCGCGTTTGAGCGGATACCCGCTCAGTTGTTTTTCTTTTGGACGTGGGGCAACCGCCTCACACCCATTTTCACACTGACAGTATCTTCTTCGGTCTCATAGGGGACATCTTCGAAAGCTTCTCTTCGCACCCTCCCCTCATCCTGCCCCTGGGGAGCCCACGCCTGCGCCTCACAGGGCCGGTGACGGACGATGCACTGCACTGTGAACTGTGCAGGCTCCGCCGCCTCCTCTGGGATCTTGAGCAGCAGGAGCTTCCGGCCAATCACCGCCACGGACCTCCTGTAGCCACGCCTCCTTGAAAACCACTCGCAAGCGAACGCGCGAATCTCGAAGAATTCCTCGGCTCCAACTCCCTGGAGAGTTGAGCTTTCTGGGAGTTGTAGTTCTTGCCCCGCGCAGAACCTGGGAGGTTTTCGGGTAGTAAAGGATGGGACTGTGGGAAGATGGGCTTGGGATGTGAGTTCCAAGGGGCAATAAAAGTATCTGTGGCATTGTTAACCCCTCGCTTATTAAGACTGAGGCGTTAGAGATGATGAATTTTAAGGCACCAGGCTCTAGCTTAGATGTTGGGCTCCTGTCGAGCCCGCAGAGGTATTTATAGCCACGGCCTCAGCTTGCATGAAATCCAACCCAGGAGCACTGGGGCCTCCCGCACGCTCCTAAGAGAGCTCCCCCGAATATCAAGCCGTGGTCTTGCAATGGGAACCAGCTGCCCCTCCCTGCCACCCCCAAATCCCATATCCAAGCCCTTCCTCCCTCTGACCCAAGCATCTTGGTCCCCCCTCCCATCCAGACTTGCCTGTCTGCTGGGCACACACTGAATTCCAACATCCTGTTCCTAGCACCTCCCCTTTCAGGCCAGGGAGTCCATGCCCTCCTTTCTTAGACCCGGGGTCTGGGCCTTGATTTTGAATTTTCCCCTCCCCTGAACTTGACTGTTGAGGCTGCGTCAGGGAAAAGAGGGAGACAGGTGGCACCTGCCGGCAGGGCTGGGATCCGACCACCTGCCGCTGCTGCTCACCCGCGCCCCTCGGCCCGCACCTGCTCCTGTCCATCCGCTTGCTGCTGCCACACCCGACCCACAACCCCAAGAAGCGAGGAGGCGCCAGCCAGGACCCTTTGTTCGTCCCGCCCCTTCCCAGGCCCCAGGAGGGTTTCCCTATCCTCCTGCAGTTTCCCTGCGTCTCTGAAAGGGGCGTCGGAAGCGCCCCAGGCGGGCGGAGCGGGGCCTGAGGTCTCAGCCCGAAGCGGAGACTCCGCCCACTTCAGCACAGCTGAGCGGATCCCATCTGGCGAGGTGCCCTTGGGTGGGAGGAGGGACCCCCCTTACCCCACGGCGCCTCTCGTGACCTGGCCCTTTCTATAAGACCCTGGTGGCTGATGCTCACCCATTCCCCTCTCACGGGCCTGGACACTGGAACATCTTGACTCCTCAGAGGCCTCTCAGGCCCCCTTTCCCCTTCCAACAGAGGATCTTGAATTTGTCTTCTTAGAGTACTGTGTTCCAGTAATGAGCTTCCGGTCCTTCAATATACGGGGTCCAGGCTTCTCCTTTTCCTTCCCTTTCAAAGCCCCGAAGTCAAAGTTCCTGGTGGCCTCCTCAGGAACAGGAGTCATAGGCCCCAGGTCTGCTGCATCCAACACTGGGTAGTTGAGGACCCCAGTCTTCCTCCCTCAGACCCAGGGCTCCAAGCCCTCAGCCCCCTCCTCCCTCAGACCCAGGTATTGGGTCCCCAGCAGAAGTCACGATTGCAGGCTACCCCCATCTCTCTTTCAGGACCTTTTCTGAGTTACTGGCTTTGAGCTCCCTCTCTGTGGGGGCCGTGCGTGCCCTCTCCCCAGTCCAGGTCCCATTCTGGCCTCGGCGATGACCCTGGCGGCTTCCTCTCAGCACCCCCAAGTCATCTGCTCTGGGTTCCGATCTGGTGAGAGGCCTCTTCCAAGGGTGGGCTGTGACCCCGGGGTCCTTGGACTCCCACTCTGGGTGGCAGGGAGGACCTGTGAGGCTTGTGTCGCCCTCACAAAAAGCTCCTGTGCATAAAGGAGTCCCAGGCAAAGGGCTGGGTCTTGGGGGGTCATGACTGAGCACAGGGCTAGCTAAGCAATGTGGGGTGGGGGCCAGGCGTGGGGGTGCAGAAGGCCCAGGGCTGTGGAGGAATAAGAGCTCCAACTGACAGGGATGCACAGCAGAGGACTGGCTTGGGTCGAGGTGAGAGGCCATCGAGCTGTCAAAGCTTGGATGTGCCAAAAGTTACATTTTAGAGCGAGGCATGGTGGTGCAAGCCTGTCATACCAGCACTTGGAAGGCTGAGGCAGGAAGATCACCATGAATCGGAGGCCAGCCTGAGCTACATAGTGAGTTTAGGGCCAGCCTGGACTACATAGCCAGACTCTGTCTCAACAAACAATCAAACAAATAAACAAAAAGCCACATTTTATCATCATCATCATCATCATCTTCTTCTTATTATTATTATTTTTATTATTTTTAGTAGTAATAGTATTTTGGTACTGGGACCTTGCACTTTCAAGGCAGGCAGCTGAACCACTGAGCTAAATCCCCAGCCCAAAAAAGTCACATTTTAGAACCCAGGGTAGGAAGGCTGTGGGTCAGTTCCTGAGTAGGCAAAGCGTACCTGACTGTGCAAAGGAGTGTGATGACATGGTTCAGTTCATGCAAAGACATCAGTCCCTGAAGAGCCACGGGTGTGTGAAAAGGTACATGTGTATGGGGAGGAATAGAAATGCACAGCAGGAGATCCTTGTTCCGGGACTGAGAGCTGAACCCTGAGTGTGCAAATCACGTGCCAGTGTGGCTGGGTGGGTGCAGATGCACAGAAGGGTGTGTGCAAAGTGGGGTGCATCAGGCACAGTGTAAATGGGCCAGGCTGCCACACTAGTGATTTGCCAGCTGTGGGGTGCACACGTCTCAGGAAGGGGCAGGTGGAAGGGACCACTTGGTCCAGGGCTGCCTCCCGTCCACTGCGTGCCACTGGCTCCCAGCCCTGGACCAAGTGCTGCACTGGCAGGGAGCGGGCAAAGCCCAGGAAGGCAGTGGCCCTGCCCGCTGCCCTCAGGGTGTGTAAGGTGGCTGGGCACACGTGTCTGCCGAGGAGTGCGCTCCCACCCCACCCCTCCCCTGGATCCAGGCTCCAGGACACTCCCGTCCTGCCTTCCTTCCTCCAGCTGCGGATCCACAGGCGGAATCAGGACCCGAGTAAGTGTGGGCCCCGAAAGGGAGGGCACGGTGGCCCCACTCCTCTGGGACACCCTAGAATCCCACCAACAGGTCCCTCACTGTCCCTCAGCTCAGTCCCTATACATGGCAATCCCACGCTGTCCTTTCCCAGGGGCCCAGGAGTCCAGGTCCCTGCCACCCCACACCTAGGAGACAGGCAGCCCAGGCTCTACCTGCTCCAGACCTCTGACTCTCAATACACCTCCTGGCGACCAAGGACAACATTTCTGGCTTTCGTTTTTGTTTTGTTTTTTTGAGATAGTCTCACTATGTTGCCCAGGCTGGCCTGGAACTTGAGGTAATCCTGCTGCCTCAGCTGCCTGAGTGCTGGAATTACAGGCACGAGCCACCTGCCTTTCTTGAGAATGTGAAAATTCTCAGATCCGGGTGTCAAGGTGCCCACCTGACTGGTGGCCTCCCACACCCAGGCCCCGGTGCTCCTTTCCTTCTCCCTGGCAGGCTTGCTGTGTGCAGGCCTCTCAGGGCCATCTGCTCTCTCCAGCCTCAGATCTCGATCCATCGATCTCAGCCCCAGGCCCAGCTCTGGCCCCAGCCTTCCCCTCTGCCCAGCCCTGGGGTCCTGCTCCCTGAGCCAGAGCATTGTCCATGGCAGTGCCCACAGCAGGTGAGTCTGCCCTGAGGAGATGTCACCCTTAGATCTAGCTGTGGTCCTTGTCCCTCTCGGGTACCAGGCTGACCCGGGGCTTTGGATGCAGCTCGGGGGGCCAGCAAGGTGGGAACCGGTGCCGAAGCACAAGACATCACACCTGCTTTTTCAGGAGTCACCCAAGGTCTCCCCATGCTGCAGAGGCAATCTTCACCTACCACCAGTACAGGCCTCCGGACCACGGCGCCAGGGGAGAGCCAAGCAGGCCGCCGCCACGGAGTGGGACGAGCTCACAGCAGCCATCTCCCAGGTATGACCCTCATTTCTGCTGTCTGGAGACCCAGATTTTCCATTCTCATCATTTTTCTGCCTCCAACCCAGAGTGCAAGACTGGGTGTGTGTGTGGGGGGGTCCTTCCCCCAAGTCCCCTCCTCTCCCGACCCCATAGTCCCAGCTCCCAGCTCCTCTCCCTTCAGACATCTACCCCATGTGTTGTTCCCTCAGAGACCCCAGAATTCTTGGCTCCTGCTTTCCCTGTCTTTGGGGACCCCAAAATCTGCCCCTCTAACCTTTGCCCCCCATGACTGTACCTAGAATGAAGCCTGCGCCCCTCACTTCCTCCCCACCAGGAGTCCCCAGCCCCTTGCTTCCTCCACACAAGTTGGAACTTCAGATCCTTAAACTGGAAGAGCTGACGGTGAGTTTGGGGAGCACCTTAGCAGACCAGTCTTTTCCTTCCATGAGGGCCAGACTCCTTTGGGGGTTGGGGGGTGGAAGTACTAGAGACTGAATCAAAGCCTTCACACTGAGCTATATATCCCCCAGCCCTTTAAAATTTTTAAAACATTTTTTATTTTGAGGCTTTCACTAGGTTGCTAAGTATTCCAGGCTGGATTCAAACACCATCCTCCTGCCTCAGCCTCCCTGAGTGTGACATTACAGGCGTGCACCCCTAGGTCCAGCTAAGCGGCCCAGACCTCTAACCGAGCCGCCTCTGCCCCAAGGAAGTCCAGGAGTTTGGACCCTCAGTCTCATCCTTGTAGGGTGCCCAGACCCAGTCCCTCCCTGGTCTGTTTTCGAAGTTTGGCCCCTCCTGCGCCTGGAGCCCCCACCCCCCAGCACTGCCTCCCTCGGTCCCTTTCCCCAGGTCTCAGAACCCCAGCAGCAGCAACGCCTGAGGGGCCTCCCGGTAACTGGGACCAAGTCGACGCTCTTGGAGCGCATGCGCGGCGGAACTCTTCCCCGCGAGCTGCCGAAGGCGAGGCGAGAAGAAAAAGCAGTTGATACTCCTTGGCGGTGCCTCAGACTCAAAGCCCTAGGAACCGCCCCGCGGCAGAGCCGGGATGAGGGCGGGGCTATGAGCTTGTGAACCAATAAAAACAAATAAAGAGGGATGGGGCGGGAGGTTGAAAAATGAGTAGCCAATGAGGTGGGGGAAATGACCCGACGATAAAATTCAAGGGAGGATCTTAAGGGAAGAGAAGCCAATGAACAGATAGGGGGCGAGGCCAAAGGAAGAGTCAGTGAATTGCCCGGTAGGACTGCGGATGGAGGCTCAGATTGGGGCTGAGCCCGTTGTGCGTGGCTTGCGGGACCTTGCTCGTTTCCCTGCACCTCCCAGGCAACCTCTTCCACGACCCGCGGATGCCCTGGTAACAGCCCCGGCTCCAATTTCGACTCAGGCTCCGGCTCCAGTCCTGACGCCTTCCTCAGCACCCGCCCCAGCGGTCCTGACTTGGGAGGAGGAGCTGCAGGAAGCGATCCGGAGGGCACAGGAGAGACGGTGGGCCCAGCGGGGTCTCGGCTCAGGGCCTGGGCTGGAGCCCCGGGTTCACCCCGTGTCGCTCCTCTACAGCTGCTTCCGAGCCGGGGTATCGATGACATCCTGGAGGACCAGGTGGATCCTGATGGTAGAAGCCGATCTCCTAGATTCGAGGGGGGAAGGGGCTGAGGGTCAGACTCCTCGGTGGGCTGGAGAACAGCACTCCCGAAAAGGAGAAACGCGGTTCTGGGGACCGCGTCCCTGACGTCATAGGCTCACGCCCCTCTCCTTCTCAGACCCGCTGCTCCCCGTCCCCCTGGACTTCCCAGGCTCCTTCGACGTCCTGTCCCCACCCCCGGACTCCGAAGGCCTCTCCTCTGTCTTCTCTGTGTGGCTGTGGTGGAGGCCACAGAGACACTTCCCTGGGGGTACGGAGCAACCCACAGAGCCCCTCCTGCAGCAGACACAGATGAAAGGCAACCCCTGTCCCCACCTGTCCCAGAACTGCCGCCGCCGCCCAGCCCACCACCGGGACTCTGCCTGTCCTGTGGCTGTCCCACGATGGGGGTGGGGGGGGCTCCTGTGCTGCTGGCCAGGCCAACATGCTGCTTGCTCCTTCCTTCGGAGGCCTCAAGGGTGATTTTATGCACCACCCCGTGATGGCTGCTTGTTGTCTGGGGAATCTGGAAGGTGGTTCTGGCTGTTGGGACGCAGGAAAAGGGCAAGGAGGAGTAAGAATAACAAAGAGGGAGCCAGACTCCGGGGTTCTAGTTGGAGGAGAGAAGATGAGAAGTGTCCTGTGTGAGGTCAGCTGTTTTTGGAACTGGAGTCAGGTCAAGATGCGGGTGCCAGTGATTTGCTTCCAGGCAAAAGCACTAAGGGAATAGAGGAAAGGGATGGCAAAAGGGAAGAAGAAAAAGAGCAAGGAGGAGTAAGAATAACAAAGAGGGAGCCAGACTCCGGGGTTCTAGTTGGAGGAGAGAAGATGAGAAGTGTCCTGTGTGAGGTCAGCTGTTTTTGGAACTGGAGTCAGGTCAAGATGCGGGTGCCAGTGATTTGCTTCCAGGCAAAAGCACTAAGGGAATAGAGGAAAGGGATGGCAAAAGGGAAGAAGAAAAAGAAAAAAGAAG